CTTCAGACCATCATATGCAAACCTGAGGACACACATTTTTGTTCTCTTTAGTCAGTGCACATATCAACATGTGTATATTTCTTTAAACGGATTAAATAAAATCTGATGTCTAAAACAACATCTTGTCTGGTGAGACAGATTTCTCACTTCTTGATTTAACCAGAAACATGTTCAGTCCAGCAGACAGCGTGTGGCACCACCTTCTGGTTCAACTCTGTACTTTACCTGGTCTTGTCAGAGATCCATTCCTCGTTGACGTCTTCGTTCAACCTGGGCATCACCCTCATCACCTCACCGCCTCTTGTGCTCACCATGATGTTACTGCCCACAGCATCCAACACATCTATCGACTCGGTTTTCCTGCAAAGACAGCAGAAAATGAAGCTAAAGAAACAGCGAAATAACAACAGAATTGAATCAGACACGAAAATGAACATACTAACTAAAACAAAATGCTTTAAACTGCTGAAGGAAATTGCAAAAAAGCTAATGTCTTTAAATATAAGACACTGTCTGCTCTGATTTTTAGCTAAATTGAGGTATCATAGCATTTCCCACCTGGTCTCCCATGGTCGTGCGGTGAAAGCGTAGGGTTTGGATGTGAGCGCTCCCACAGGACAGACATCGATAACGTTGCCTGACAGCTCCGACATAAACATCTTCTCCACGTACGTGCCGATTTGCAGGTTGTTTCCTCTACCTGTTGTTCCCAGGTCTTCAACACCGGCTATCTCACTGGCAAAACTACAAACAAATGCATAAATACGTGGTTAGAGGACTTCACCACACAAAATTACATTAGCAGATTATCTCATTATTACTGATGGATATAAGAACGAACGTTTATGACACACTTACCGGACACAGCGTGTGCACTGGATGCAGCGGGTCATGATGGTTTTGATGAGCGGCCCGATGTTTTTGTCCTCCACTGCTCTCTTTTCTTCTGAGAAACGACTGCGGTCTGAACCAAACTGCATGGACTGATCCTGAGAACACAGGCAGAGAGTTAACAACATACGTTTTCTGTATGCATTTTACAATTTTGTTTAACTGACCCTTGAACCTCCATATACTAGTTGCTTGGTTACCTGCAGGTCACACTCTCCTCCCTGATCACAGATGGGGCAGTCCAGTGGGTGGTTGGCCAAAAGGAACTCCATCACTCCCTCTCTGATGACACACACACACAGGCGAACACATGTTTAAAAAGCCTGTTTACAGTAGTGTTTTAACTTTGGTGACATTTTAAGTTTGCTTAAGGTTTGACACATTGTTGAATATTTAAATTCTTACCTGGCTTTGCGCGTCTTCTCTGAGTTGGTGAGGATGTTCCAACCCTTCATGACGGGCATGGCACAGGCTGCTACCGGCTGAGGAACACATGACAGCACACACACACACATCAGTTAGATTATACAAAAGGTCTCTAGTCTAACCAGAGAGTTATTTTGTTCAATTAAATGCACTTTCAGCCTAGTTGCTACTAAAGTGATATGCCTACAGACAATCAGATGTTACCTTTGGAGCTTTCTCAATCTCCACAAGACACATACGACAGTTTCCCGCCACTGAGAGCCGCTCATGGTAACAGAACCTGGGGATCTGGATTCCTGCCTTCTCACAGGCCTGATGGGAAAAGGAAACAACAACAAAAGTTTAGAGCATTTGACATTAGGAAGGGGAGGACATAAAATCACACACATCTACAAAAACTGTGAAGGATGACACAATTAAGTTTTACGAATTATGTAGACATGTCATTCTGTTGTGTTCTGTAGTCAGTGAATGACACAAGAGTTAAAGTTAACCCTAAAACACAGTAGTAACCTTTTACTTTTAGACTGAAGATCAAAGTTAAATCTGTTTTCCTAACAACAAAGACATTATTAATGTTGGTTGTTTGAATGACAGATAAAGTAAAACTGTTATTAGAATATTTGCCAGAAATTAAAAATGCTGGATTTTCACTGATTTATCAATCAAGACAAGGTGAGGTGGGAAATTCTAAAACGATCAAATAAGACAGACAAGAATGCAAAATACAAAACAAGCTCAGATCCATAATTTTTCGTTTAGTTCACATTAATGGACTAAATGATTGTCACAACAACACAGTTAACAATAGAAAAACAATCTGATGTTTCTTACCTGCAGCACAGTAGTGCCAGGCTCCACCTCCAATGGTTTCCCATCCACAAACACTTCCACCATGTTGCTGGCAGCACGCACTGGAGTACGCACTAAGAGTGGATACACAAAAGGCCAAGTTTACTGAAATTAAACTTCACCACTAAAATGTATCTAAAAATACATAACATATTGGAACTGAAAATGTTCTTAATTATAAAACCATAATAATACTTTTTATTATTTAAAAAAAAAAAAAAGTACTTTGTTGTTAGTTACCTTCACCTTGACACACACACACATCTTACCAGTGTTGGAGGGAGCCAGGCTGCCCTTGGCGGCCCCGGCAAGAGCTCGGCCGACGTTTGGCAGTCGCAACATGACGCTGTGAGAGGAACACATACAGAACATATGAGCTAACGTTATTCTGATATCATGATTAATTATTATTATTTATATTCTTGCAGATTGGTTTTCTTATTATCAACTAAAATTAACAATATAATTCAGCTCTAACCACAATTACTAAAGGGTGTTCAATAGGGTGTGTATGTTTGTTGAGAAGTAAAAGAACATAGCTGCCTTTTCAGTCAAACTGTTACAATCTCTGCACCACAGAGAAAATACAGTGCACTTACAAGTTTGTACAACTCTTGGTTTTTGCAAAATTTGTTTAGCAACAAAATTATTTTAATAAAGTGCTTTCTGTTTCAACAAATTAGACAAGAAGCATAAGTGCTGATAATTGTGTCACTAACAATTATACAGTCAACATAATCTTTTACTACTCAGATTTCCTGCAACTGCGTAGCTGCAGGTTTTGAACTTTAATATTTACTGTTAACAAGTTGTATCAATTCTGCTTTTCAGCCAAAAGCCTGATATTAGATGCAGTCAAGTTTAAATTTATTTAAGGGTTGAGGTTTTCAGTCAAAATAAATAGCCCTGCCCCCATTTCCAAATATTCATATTGGGCACTTTCAATTCAGGTTATTTTTCAGAAAACATTACTGAGAGCTTCAACAATTAGTACAGAGTTTATCTGTTATCTGTTATATCAACATATTTCACAAAATTTAATGCATCATGGTCGTTTTATTGGATTAAATACATTTTCACAAATCTAATAAACTCGCACCGCAGTGATAACGTTAGTGTATAACGTTATATCACCTGAGCTAGTGCTAGCTAGCTGAATAACGTTAGCTGTCACTGTCAACACTAACAAGTAATATAGTCGCTCAACCACAAAGCTATAATGCACAAAGAACAAAAGACTTCCCGAAACATGAGGACAAAACAAAAGGTTAAGCACGATTAAATACAGTTTCAAACTAACAGTAGCACAATGAGGACTCAGGCTAACACCGTTAGCTAACGTTAAGAGAACTACTCAAGGACACGGGCACTGCGATGTTGTGAGGTGGTTTGTGAAGGTAATAAGGTCAAACACTTAATTTTCCTCTGGTCTGGTAATTAAATAACATGTATATATAAACGTTCATAAGTGCGTTATGAGTTTCTAGTTCTTACCTTTCGCTATTTGGCCTTCTTGACCAGAACAGCGGTGATCAGAGTTAAACTACCAATACAATTGCTAGCTAGTTAGCAGAAATAGCATGGAGTCCTACTTCCGTTAGAGATGAAGTCCCAAATTTCACAATAAAAGTAACGTGTCCAGAAGATGACCATATGGGTGTTTTTTCTCTCAGTAAGTAACCATATCATTATTTATTAATCAATCAAAAGTATTTATTAAGCCCAATTATATTAATATCATATCTTAACCTCATTCAATACAAGCTGAGCTTCTTTCTTGAAATTATTGTATGTTGGAACAGGTGAAGCTGAGAAGTTTTAATATTTAACTTTTGTGAAAATATTTTATTCCTGTTTTAGTGAGTCGGTTCTAACTTTCTCTTTTACCTGTGATACAGGTTGGAAGGAATTGTTAGACTGTGCAATAAAATTGCTGGCTTAAATCTGAATGTCCTCTTCCAACTGCAAAAAGGTCAGAATAAGGAAGAAGGTCCACTCAGTCCTCGCTGACCCTATTCACCCCTTGTTGATGTTGAGTTCATGTTACTCCCATCTGGTCGTGGACAGGGGCGTAGGACTGGGGGGGAAACGGGACTGATTATGTAGGGCAGTTATGTGAGGAGGGCCCACATAGATACTAGAAAGAATAGCCATGGATGGTGGGAGGGGCCCATCGAGAATGCCTATGTACAGGGTCCAGAATTTTGTGCTACGCCCCTGGTCGTAGATATAACCTATCAAGGCGGAGGAACAGTAGATCAACTCATTTGTCCCTGATGATATTAGTCTGCTGATTACTGCTGTATAAAGATAATGTAATGATGTAATAACGATTTACCTTACCTTAGTAGTGACACCTAAAATTGATGTGCTAACCTAACCAAATCTGCCTGATTAACAGGGCCTTTTCTCCCAGGAGGAAATTTCATCAAATCTCATTTTCATTTCATTTTTCTCTGCTTATCAGACAAAAAAAACCTGTAGTGTTTCTAATCAAATAATCATAACCAATACAGCCTTACTGCGGTAAATAAGTTATAACTTGCAGCCTATGTTATTTGCTAATTAATATTGACATGTTATGAAAGTAACAACCTTTCAGAATCAGAATCAGGTTTATTGCCAGGTACATTTTCACATACCAGGTGTTTGTCTTGGTATATATTGGTGCATAACAATACACACTAACATAAATATAGAAACATAAATATGGAAAAGGTTAAAACACCAGAAATGTTCGTTTGTTTTTCATTTCTTTCTTTTAAACGTTAGTTGTGTTTTATAGTTTAATTTGACCTCCGACCGCTTTTCTGTAACCGGAAGTAGCTACGTGTTCATTCTTCGCGACATTTCCGGAAGCGACTCTACAAACAGCTACAGAAACGAGCCAGAGTTGGTGCTTTCTCCTGTGAAGGAGTACAGCAAAAACAGGTGATTATTGTTCAGAGTGAAGACGTTTAGTTGTTTAGCTCATACGAAACTGCCATCTTTGTGTTAACGCCAAGTAAACACAAACAAGACTAATCAGGCCTTCTCTTCTTGTTAAACTAGTTAGCCGCAAGCTAACAGGGTCTGCTAGCAAACACAGCGTCCACTAACAAGGAAATTAAATATATCAGTGTTTGTTGGCGATAAAACTGCTGTTGCGTAGTCTGTTAACTTTGTAAGTGCTTTATGTAGGAATACATTAGTTTAATTTTGAGGTTTTTGTGTAACTTCGTCAATTATGTAGCATTATTAGTAGCATCCTCTGTTTCTGTGTTGTCATTTTTTAAAAGCAGTTCGCGAACAACGTTAACGTTAGCAATGTTTTAGACTGATCACTGACAGCATGCTACACACACACACACATATGAGGATATATTATAGATATTTCAGATACAGTAGTGTATTTTATTGTGAACAAACCACAGGATTGTTTTGGCGTGATAGCAACTTCTGTCTCTGTAAGCAGGACAGGATTTGTCTAATTGAGTAAAAGTATTGTGCCTGTATGTCAGATGAGCCAAATGTTATTCCATTTACTGTGAGTTTATTCTCAATTGTGTGTGTGTGTGTATATATAACGTTAGATTAGCACCAGAATCTGAACTTAATCCAAGAACCCTTTATCCTAAATGCTCCAGCACATTAATACAGCTCAAATACATTGTACATAAAACATCAGGGAAAGTTTTTAAAAGTATGGGAACATATTGTTGTACTGTCCTGGTTGATATAAAACCACAGTAACTAGTATTTCTATTTGTCACTGCGAAGATTAGATTGCTCTTCATCTAAAAGTACAAGAAGAGTGACAATATAACAAAACATCAAAAATCAAATCTAATAATAAAAATAGTAAGTTTGGGAAAAATATGGAATTTTAAATATTGAAATTGTGCAGGAACTCTCCTGTGCTTGAAATTTGTTTGAATGCATTTAGACAGGAACATGCAATGATTTCAAAACATGCTGCAAAAAGAAGGAATGCTAAATCAGCCTTTTTCCTCCTTGACCACAACAATAAGATGAAATAAAAAGTGTTTTTTTAAATATGCAAATTAATTGATAAAAACAAGTTTACATGTCATCTCATAGACAAAGAAGTCCATGTCCACCGTCACCTGTAGTCCTGAAGCATTACTCTATGATCTAGCATACACAGACTAAATTTCAAAATGAAAACGATGCATCTGGTGCTAAAATTGATCATTTCTGAGCCCAAAATATTACTTGTCATTATTTGGTTTGTTTAAAGTGTATCTGCCATTTTGTTCAAGGTTAGAGTGCTGAACGTTGTCTAGATGTGAGCAGCATTTCAACCTGTTTTTCTTGTGTCTCATTTTCCATTCTTTCCCCGCTTGTCCTTACCTCGCTCTTTTCACGTTGCTCTTATCTAATCTGATGTTCAGCACCATGTTGCCGACCACCTCGCCGCACAGCAATGGCGCCCTCGGCCCTAGGGACGCTGCACGTCACACGGCAGGCGCCAAACGCTACAAGTACCTACGACGGCTGCTCCATTTCAAACACATGGACTTTGATTTTGCTGTGTGGCAAATGTTGTACTTGTTTACATCGCCACAGAGAGTCTACCGCAACTTCCAGTACAGAAAACAGACCAAGGACCAGTGGGCCAGGGACGACCCTGCTTTCCTAGTCCTGCTCAGCATCTGGTTATGTGGTAGGTCATCGGACTGTGTCAGTTAACACTCTTTCGTAGAGTGTTGATGATAGCATCTCTCTGTACATTTTTCCATCTCTTTTGGGGTGGCACTTCTTGCATACTTTGCCTGTTTGATTAAATGTATACAAACATTAGTGCAGTCTGGTTCTGTAGAGTTGGTCTGACTGCTGCTAGTGTGATCCTGATGTTTTCACTGTAATAACTGAACACTCCTTCTATTTTTATGTAGTGTCAACAATAGGCTTTGGTCTAGTGCTGGATATGGGAGTCCTGGAGACTTTGAAGCTGCTGCTGTGGGTGGTTATTGTTGACTGTATAGGAGTCGGCCTGCTCATATCAACCCTTATGTGGTGAGTAGCTTTACCTAATTTATTATGTGAATAATATGGGAGTAATGAATGACATTTTTCTCTTACTGTCATTGAGGCATGTTTTTGTGATTTTTTTTCTTTGACTTGAATTGTCTGTACAGCCAATGTTGAAAAACTGAACTATAAGATGGAGCCTTTACTGTATGTGAAAGATTATTTGTTTTGTCTGTTCCAGGGTTATAACCAACAAGTACCTGCTGAAACATCCCAGCAAAAGCTTTGATGTGGAGTGGGGCTATGCATTTGATGTTCACCTCAATGCTTTCTACCCGCTTCTAGTCATTCTGCATTTCCTGCAGCTCTTCTTCATCAACCGTGAGTAGCAACTCTGTGTGGGTCTGAAATGCAATCGTCCAATTCAGATGGTCTTTAGTACAGTTAAATGTGCATTTTATGTGTTAAATACATTCCAACAATCAATCATTTCTAAAAGTTATAGTTGATCATTTCAGAGCTTAACTGGTAAGCAAATTAAAATATACTAATGTACAAAAAGACACAAATACTGATTAAAACTTGTAAAGAAAATTTTCATTTGGACAGTCAGTTGTATGCAAACTGTTTTGGACATGTCACTGCAGATTTGATATGTATGCTTGATGAAAGGTTACTGAGAAGATTTAATGAAACAGTACAACCTAATAAAAAAACAAAACAGAAACAAATTTCCAGCATGTCTGTTTGACAGCTGAGAGAATAGTTTCGTGTACTGTTCAGTGTCATGTAGTATTGTGTACAGATGGTTGACATTTTGTAAGCAATAACACATCTCAACATCGTCACCCATCAGTTTCCTGTTTGACTTTTAGAGCCTATTTTTGTGAGCTAGCTTACTGAAATGTCGCACAAACAAAATATTGGCGTTTAAATGCCATTTTCAGTCGAGAGGAGTAGCAAAATGTCACAGAAAATGGGTAAAAGTGATTTTATTTTTTTTATGTATTTATTTTTGTTCACTGATGCTCAATGTCAGTGTGCACATCTTAAACTGCTGGCCAATGCACTAGATTTACTTTTTTTGTGCTGCTCTGCACTTTACTAGCTGACGGTGCTGTGCTCAGGCTTATTTAGGACACATGTCTGACAGCTGGCATTGTCGGTGTACAGTTAAGACAAGAACCTAAATTTGATTAGGCTTAATATAGTGAAAAAAAACATTAGTTTTAAATGCCTTAATTGGCACTGATACTGGTTGTGCTAGTACACACTAGCACTAGTAGCTAGTAATAAGGAAAATCCAACGTTTATAGGCATCGTTAGTGTCAGTACAGTACACTAGCACCAGTTGCTAACTTGTTAATCTGAGTTCAACAACACAGCTAAAATTTGACTAAATCATACAAACAGATGAAAGTGTCTTTAGTTTCTTTTAATAATACTAATAATAATCAGATGTGACTTTAACAGTTTGTTTTGTGTGTTTCAGATGTTGTGATAATAAACTCAGACTGGTTTGTGGGATACTTTGTTGGGAACACCTTGTGGCTGATCGCCGTCGGTTATTATCTCTACATCACATTCTTAGGGTACAACGGTAAGTCCCATTCACAATTAAATAGATTTTCACTAAACGTGTCAACACTGCAGTGAGGTGACAGTTTCTGATCAGTTTCTGGGGGTTTAATTGGAGAAAACAGGCTCTTTGAAGACTTGGGTTTTAGGAAATTGTGATGGTTATTTTTTAGACGAAACAACTGAAGATTAATTGAGAAAGTAATTGGCAGATTAATTGATAATCATAATAATTGTTGGTTGCCACCCCAAATGGTCTTCTTTCAAAATAAATCGGGTTAAATAAAAGTTTCAGAGGTTTTTGTAACCTGAAAACAATAAACCAGGAGGGTAACCATCAGTACTTCTCATCTTGTGTTTTCCACACAGCTCTACCCTTCCTTAAGAACACAGTGGTGCTGCTCTACCCCTTCGCTCTGCTAGTTCTCATCTATGTCCTCTCCGTCTCTCTGGGCTGGAACTTCACTCAGGCCCTCTGCTGGTTTTACAAGTACAGAGTCCAGTAGAACCAGTTTGTTTCTGAGCTTGGACACCAGTTGGCTAAAGGCCGACTCACGTATTCAACTCACATCTAGGTGACAACAAATCCACTTCCAGCTTCTGTCAGTCAACACCTGGTTGAGAAGGACTCGGCCTCTGGTTGACTCTCAGTAAACTAGGACAGCTGTGTTGATTGACGCTGAGCTAGTTGACTGTCGCTCGACTCTCAGTTGACTCTGTTGGGGGTTTTTTTTTTTTTTTTGGTTCAACATCTTGCTTATGTTGAGCTGGAGCTCCAAAGTCAGTGAACAGCAATGTGTTTGGACTAGTTACAGAAACACAGACATATGAAATACAGCTTTTATTGTATGATTTGTAAATAGTATTTTGGCAGGTTGTAATATATACATTGGCGATTGTTTCTGAAGAGGAAACATTTGCTTTAGTTTCCTTTAAAAAAAGACTAATCCTGCTTATTGAAAATGAAAAAAGGAAAGTGGACAAACATGGGATGCAAACATTTTTTCCCTTTTTCTTTTTTTCTTGAAGTGTACATTCCAAAGCACTTTCAATAAAAGGTTTTATTAAGTTGAAGATGCCTCAGTTTTAAATGGGATCCATACTTCGTATTGCAATTCTGGAAAATGTTTTAATAGCAGTCGTTCTCTTTGGGATTGTGTAGTAACATACCAACATCTCATGGTGAGTGCTGTTGCAGTAATGTTTTTGGTGAAGCTTCTGAAGCTGAAGAAAAGTAATGGGTAATACATATTGTTTTATTAGCCAGTATTAGTACCGGTAGTAAGTATTTTATGTGGTGTAAAAATCTTATTAATGTTATTAGAGTTAGTGTGATATATTTTTGTACTTGACCTTTCTTGATAAGAACTATGTAATTTGATTATTGGGAAAATAGACAAATAGTTAAAAGCAGCTGCTTTGTGTTTTATGAAACAAGGGAATTATACTATAGTAACAATGGTACATTTTATCAGTAGTTATTGATCCCCAGAGGAATGCACAATAGCTCCTAATATGTTTTATACTAATGTGACAGGCAGCAACAAACACTCAAATGAGTCAAAGGACAAAAAACAGAATATAGCTGAAACCCAGAAATACAAAATACTGAATGATAAATGTGAAAAGAAAGTGTTGTTAATAAGAAAAGTTTAAACATGGGAGATGAGGAGGAAGATTAGACAACATACTCCAAACAGGAAACAATGGACCTAATGTTAAAATCCTACATGAAAATCAATATTTCCAAAGTCTACTAATAAAGAGATTTACAAAAACAATGTAATTAATCAATACTCAGTAAGTAAGTCAGTCTGACAAAAAGTGCATTTCGTTGTGTCCATCACGCGATCAGGAAACAGCTGGATAGATTTCTCCTGGTGGACGTTTAGATGTTACTGATGTTTTCCAGAGAAACATCCTAGCTTCCGCAGAATGGTGAGTGATATCACACAAACGACAAATGTTAACAAAAATGCAAATATGGTCACTGTAACACAGCCAATTTCCCTCCTGAGATGAATTTAACAGGAAGAGAAATAAATGTACCTTCACTATAAATTGATGGGTTTTAACAATATGAAGCTGCAAGATTTTCTGTGCCTGTGTGCACATTTTCCTGGTGCTTTACATACTATTACATCCAAACATACTGACAGCTATTCTCTTCCCCATGTAAAGAAACAGTGTTTAATGCAAACCAGTACACCACCACAGTGAACTACAGCTTCAGAAATCACAGATACTTTACCTCTAGTAGTGTTTAGTAACACACGGATCATTTAGGGTTAATTTGTTGTTTCACTGACAAATTATATTTATTCAAAAGTAAGAGGTTACAGCTACACTAGCAGCACAGTGGCACTGCAATCAATGTCAACAGGTTTCATCCTCTGGGCACCATGGCTATCTGTTGCTATTGTATTCAGCATCCGTATGTCTTTCCAGAAACGGTGTCCCTTTTGGTTTATCCACAAACCCTGCATTAATAGCGCTCTCTTTGCTATGTGTTTTTTTGGCTGTGTTTGCTGTCTCACCATGTCTGTATTGATCAAGATTATTCCAGGTCAGTCCCACAGCCCCAAGTGACAGGAGTAGAATCCAGGGTTACAAAAACATCAAGTTACACTCACTTACATAGGGCATAATTGCAGCTCCTCTCCATAGGGCTAGTTCAAGAATGTAGGTGCAACAGAAAAAGCTAAAAATACTGATGCTATGGTATTTGGCTTATTCTGCTGTAGAATTAATGTGGAATCGTTTAACTGCATATTCTTATGAGATGATGTATTTAATGTCAGAGCACCAAGAAATGGAAGTTAAAAATACACTCCGATCCATCAGTCTGCAAGCTGGACAACTTTCTGCTGGTCTCAAAGTGCATCGCCTAACCACCATGCTGTGTGCAAGGAAAGATAACGCTGAATGTGTTCTCGTCTGCAATGATTATGATGATTGGTCAACATTGTGGCTCATAGAAGTCATTCTATTTCAGCACATCCATCAACATTTGCCTCAGGATGACGTCCTTGTGTTTCTTCTTCAGCAGCTCCATGAAGTCCAGCACCATCATGCCTCATTTGTAGGTCTCCTCCAACTCCACTGTCACTGCTACATGGAGGAGGAAGACAGTACTTAGTTGCACTTGTTCCATATCCTTAAGCTGTGTCTCCTGGCTGTGGTTTCCTAAAAAAATAACAACACAAGGGATCATAACTCATAAAGGCAGTTGAAGACACTGTGTTTGACCTGTTCATGACATCTCATATGAAGTGTTGTATGAAGACTTGAGGACAGAAAAACTGACAGGTGGGTCAGGTGACCTGGAAGAAAAGTAAATATTTAAATATAAAAGCAAAGCATATAAAATGGCCATTTTGTAAGATTATGCAAGCACAAATGTTAGACCAGGGAAACGTTAGAAGAAAAATTTTATCAATGAAGATACCTGTCAAGAAAGTTTCAGCAACAATCCTTTTTCAAAGTGCAGATCATTTGTAAGGTCAAATTTCTTTCTGCAGCACATTGACGAGAATTACAGCTCAGCAAAGTTCAATCAGGAGGACTATCCTTATGTGTCACTCTTTCACAAATCCCTCTCAGATCAAGGGCCAGTTCAGTTATGCAGAAGTCTTCCCCTCCTCTCATCCAGATTTCCATCATCTTGTTCATCCTTTTATCTCACCACCACCACCACCAGTGTCCAGACCCCATCAGGGGGATTTCTATGCCTCTGCAACTTCACTACTCCGAGATACACTGAACATTCTCATGTTCAGTGTATCTCATGTCAATAAATTATTGTTGTTCACTCAGTCAGATCTCTCCTGCTTGAAGTAAAGACCACATTCCTGTGCCATGTGAGCATGCTTGAGGCACCTCTTCCTATTACACCTGTTTTTGTTTAAGGCTTTATAATATGAATGCCATATGAAGATCTGAGTTAGGTCCCTTCTTTCAGGAGCGGGACCACACATCAACCACGTCATCGCCAGCATTTCCATAAATACCCACACGTCCTAACTCCTCCCCTTCGCTCTCGTATCCTGCATCCCTCCCCCCAACACCTTTCTCTGTCCTGCCTCCTGATCTTCTTCCTCTCCATAGGGTTATAAGGGGGTCCGTCGTGCCTGGGTGCCGTATTTCCCTATCGTAGCTTCCCCACAACGTTTTCAAATGTCTCTTCGGCAACCCCAAGCCTTCTGTTTCGATCATCAATAAATCATTTAATCATACCTGTTGATTGTGCGGTCCTTGCTATTGAATTGCTTATTCATGCGTTAATCATCGTTAAGCATCATCTCTAAACATCAATTTTTTTCCCAATGTTTCATTATGCCATCTCTACAACCCAACTAACCCTAGCAAATGTTTTTGTATTGTTATTGCAAGTTCACAATGAAATGTAAGTGAAAAGGCAAAGTCTCTGTTTTCATAGCTTTGTCAAAATGTTATTGAAAATCTAGGGCAAAACTGAGTGTGAGAAAATCTCCTACTTTAGTGTTTTGCATGTGGAGGAACATTTTATTGAGACCAGACAGGGGCTTTGTGCATTTCTGTGGTTATTCTAAGGAAATGAAGAAGAGGTTCGAGAAATGCACAGGGTTTTGATTAACAATTTTGATCATGGCTGGCGCAGCTTTTTTCTTCTGCAGCAGCTCCAGGCCTGGAGCATCTGGATCTGGAACGTCGCCCAGCCCGTCCTTCCCATGATAATCTCCAGCGTGACGTTTACGGGCAAGCAAGGGCTCTGAACAGCCAAGTATGGTAGATTGTGCTTGAGTCGCCTAGTTTCAGCTGTTAACATTAACCCCCTCAAACCCACTAAATCCAACCACACTTCTGTTGGTTGTAGTTACCTAAAGGGGTCAATCAAAAGTCAAATATTCCACAAATAAAATCTCACACAAACTTACATCCAGCCTGTTGCAGACTTTCAGGACACGCAGTGTGTTCTTGAGGACGTTTTCCATGGGTGTGTTGCCAAAGCAGCAGGTGATGCCCAAAACTTCCACATTGGGGGCCGCGAGGGCCACCATGATGGCCTGAGCATCATCCACCCCTGTGTCTAAGTCAATGATCAACTTCTTCTTCATCCTACATTCAACAAAAAAGATTCACAGCTGATGCCTAAAGGAAGAATTATCTTTTGAATACTGCACAGGTCTCCTCGTTCTACTAATCAATATTTTTATATTGACAATGGACCTAATGACTACCTGTAAAATAAAAGGAGATAATTATCACAACACTCTGTAAGTTCCTCTCAGCTCTATGTCTTTCAGATAACTTTTTTGTTTTTATGGCCCACAACTTTACTTAGCTCAGTCTGACTATGCTCATCTTTCTAGTTAGCTGCAGAGAGCTGTTTTCAGTGAAAAGGCTCTGATAAACCCATTGTACTTGTACCTGGCCAGCACCAGTCTACGGGCAGACAACATTAGTGACCAGCTGGTGTAAATACTGGAACACTCAGGAGTTTCTGCATTCAGTTTCTATGCAGCACATATTTTGGACATCCTCCAAAGGTCTGCTCCAACAGATCTTTATAAGGTCTGCCACTCGCTGCCCTTTATCTTAAGAATTAGAAGAAGAATTTGTGTGACTATTCATACATGTTAACATTAACACTTTATTTGTTAATTCTGTTTTATTCATTGTTCTTCTTTCATGTATCTTTTGTATTGACTTGTGTTTCTTTTATATCTTGCCAATGCATTTTTATATCTTATATAAACACTTTGAATTTCCTAAAAGATGCTATAGCTTACCTCGCCCTGTCCATACAACACGAGGCTGTAATAATTGCCACACTAGTTGATGTGGCATGGCTAAGTGGCTAAGGAAATAAAATGTTTTTCTTTGCAATTAAACATTAAGAATGTTGACATTGTGGATAAAAATGTTTTTCACATGAAAATAATAACAGGTAATCTCAGTACCTGACTCAGTCACACAGTCAAATGTCCATGGTTTAAAACAATGAAAATAACCTCACCTGGTGAACAGATCTTGACCGATGTCTTCTGTTGTTTGCACTGAGAGAAGAGCAGCAGCTGCTGACCAAAGAGCAGCTTTTAAAGAGGCACAGAGAGGAGTTGCTCAAACAAGAGGCAAACATCCAGCTGGGTGGGCTTCTGCAGAAATGTTATCAGATGGTACTTTTTTTTCAAATTGCTGTTGATCATGGCAGTGATTGTTTGCTTCCAAAGAAAGTGGATAAAATCTCAGTGGTAGTTATAGCTGCCTCTAGGGCTGCCAGTAATTGACAACAGACCGTTTACTGCTTTAAATGAACAATGAACAACAGAAGGGGGAGTATTGTTATAGGTCTTGGAAACACAATCTTTTTTCGTGGAAAGTTATTCCATTTAATGATAATTACAAATAAAGCTAAACATCATTGACTATAGGATGACAAGAATGGTCGACAGTTTCACAAAATTAGTTCTGCTGCTGGTGTGGAAAAACACAATGCAGTGTATCCACTATCCTGTAGAAAACGCCTCCATTAAATATTTCTTTAAAGGTTTAAGACGTGCAAATTGATTTTTCTTTTGAAGAAAGGTAGTCCAGAGGAAGTCCAGCATCTTCTGCAAGTCTAATTATAGTCAGATTTTCTAGCTGTCCAGAGGCTATAAAGAAACTGTCTGTACAACTTGTGTTTAGACACAAATGATTCAGTATTCAACCCATGGGCATGGGTGTAAATCTCAGCTAACAGTAGGGGGGGACAATAAACATAAAATTTCTCAAGAGAAATATTTGAGGGGGACACAAATAATACAGCCAATACAGCCAGACTACTCAGATATTTTGTGAAAGGAAGGCTTTCAAGTTTCTTTGTCAATCATGTGTCTTATTCTGAAAAAAAAAAAAAAGCCTCTTAAGCACCAATAGAAGGCATGTTTTTCTTATAAACATATTTTCTGTGATGAAGAATAAAAGAAATAAACAGCCAAAGAATTATGCTGTGAAAGACTTAATATCATGTAAACAACGATTGCATTTAGAAAGACTGACAACATAGAATTTTGAAAATAACAACTGAAAGTCAGTAAGGACACCACATTTTGTTAGCATCAAGTTCTAACAACAAACAGCTCTGTAAATTCACAAGCTATATTACAGTTTTTCTCAGTCGCTTTGGTGCATTTCTCAGATCAGAATTGAAATTCTCAAAACTAATTGTTCAACCTCCACATCATCTCGTCACTTGTGCACATCATAAAAGCTCTTTCTCATTGTTTTGAACAAATTGCAAATGACTTGACACACTGATGCAAATGATTATGTACAATTGTCTGCTGTTTCCTACATTATCAATTGCTTATGTCCTGCTGATCACAATGAATTATACCAGTCTCTGTTGAATAATCTTACCCCCCAAAACATCTAGGCATAAGTTCATTGCATGCACGCAATGTCACTACATGCAAAATGGTTGTCAAAAATCAAAGTTAAAATACTTATCCTTTGCCTACAACACTCAGACCATTCTCATATACACATATATATATATATACACACACATATATATATATACACACACACACACACACACATATACATATACATATACATACAGATATATATATACACACACACATATATATACATACACATACATATACACACACACATATATATATATATATACACACACATATATATACACACACATATATACATATACACATATATACATATATACATACATATATATATACACACACATACACACACACACACACACACACACATATATATACATACACATATATATATGTACATATATATACTCCTCCGGTTATTCCGTCACACCTTACCGTTCTAGCAACAAACCAATAGGATTGGAGTGATTTCATTCACGTTCAGACCTGCTACGCCTAGAGGCGTTCCCATGGTGTCGTTACCGACGCAGTGTCTCATTCCCCTTCTCGGGGAACCAGGGTTACATACGTAACCCGAGAAGTTTCTTTAGGATAATTTCAAAGCAAGTGCCTTTCTCGAATCATCCTTAACATTTGCAAAACAGTAAGTGCATTTCTCGAAACAGGTAGTACAAACAGCACAACACAGTGGATTACCTGCAAAAGCCCATAACTTGCTCAAAATCCTTAGTCTATCTCTCAAAAACAAATCTTTATTTCATTGAACTTGTCAGTGCCATTAGAACGACAAGTCCTTGTGTCTCGTTTATGAACAAGCAAGTCAAAATGTTTAGCCATCTTGTCAATATAACAGTGTACTCTGTAAGTATTTTCTGATGTACACTTTGGCTAAGATTTTGATGACAATGATTGAAAATGCACAAGGCTGCACTTTTTTTGTATGACATGCATCACTTTCACCAGTACAAAGTTTTACATTGCAGGAGAGAGGACAGGAATCACAGCTGTGCTTTTACTGTTCGTACTGTATTTTGTTGACAGAGCATGTCACTGTAATACAGAAAAGAAAGAGACAGGACTTCTGCATGGGATACACCCTTTTGGTTGACGTTCTGTGAGAATCTGTGATACTCTTGTATCACAGATTCTCTTCCATATCACAACAGATATCTTCATCAATTCAGGACACATTTACAAAAAAATTCTAATAGACATGTATAGAATGTCTATCTATATATACATTCATACATACATACATACATACACACACACATATATATATATATATATATATATATGGAAGCCCTAATCAAACAATCAAACATTTTTTTACTCCGTTTTCTTGTGATAACGGATTAATTTTCTCGTGATTTCAAGATAACCATAATAGTAATTATAGTGTGGTTTGTATTATTGTTGGTTAGCTCACTTGGTGGAGCACAGGACTTATGGTCTTAAAGTTGTGTGTTCCATCCTCACTGAAGACTAAATTTTTCTTTTTTATATTTTTCATAATCCTCTTCAACAAAGTTCTTATGAAAAGACTGTATCACATGCTCACATTACTGTAAAGCACGTGCTGGACTCGTTCCGGCGTTTGATCCACATCCATCAACCTATGGACTTTTCATTTCCCATCATTCCCATCATTCTCATTCATTCAAATTAATTTCTGCATCCATAGAACATTCCTCACTATCTTTTTTAATAAATACATCTCTATTTTCCTTAAGAACCTTCTCTTTCCTCTGATAATTAATTAGATTATCTTGGTTCAAGTTATTTCTTAACATTCTCATTGCCCTATTTCATTCTTTAATAGGTTCTGTGCATGTATCATTCCACCATGGGACCGCTTTCCTTTTCCCCCCGACTGACTTACATGGTATGCTTTTTAATGCTGCATTGAATATTAAATGTGTATCACCCTGCATTGAAAACGACTCTGCTGAAATACAACATATTTCTTTAACTTTTCCCAATCAGCTTTAGCAAAATCCCACTTCTTATGATTAGGCCTTTCTTGAAGATCTATTTCAACATTTATAGAGCAAAATATTGGAAAATGATCGCTTCCAATACTTGTACTTTCCTTTACCTTCCATTCACAAGAGTTTGCCAGATTATTTGAAATTAGAGTGAGATCAATAGAAGACAGTGTGTTAGAACGTATGTCAATTCTTGTGCCCTTTCCATTATTTAAACAAACTAATTGTCTAACCTCCATCAGTTCTTCCACTGCTTCTCCATTACCATCAGTATGCTTACTTCCCCAAAGGCTATTATGTGCATTGAATGTGCATCTCTGCACCATATTTCTTTCCCGTTTCCTTGTCTCCTTATTATTTACTCTAAGGTTTCTAGGCTTAATGATTTACAAGGGTTATGTAAGTTGATTACTACTAAGTACCCGTCCTTAAAAATGTTGCACATCCTCCACCCTGATTTCCACCTCTATCAAACCTAACAGACTCATAACCAGGTAAAATAAAATCCAGGTGAGGCCGTAGCCAAGTTTCTTGTATGCAAACAATATCAGGTTTAACTTCAGATTTTCCTACAAACTTTTTAAATTCTTGGCCATTTGCAATCAGACACCTAGCATTCCATTGCAAGAGGTGGAATACCATATTAAGCTTAAATAATACTCTGAGACCCTCCATCTCTGATACCTAGGAACTCCTCTGCAGCTTCTACCACTATCTTGATCCTGTCACTTTTTCTTTCTTGTTGTGTGGCAACATTCACAACTTTACATATAAAAGCTACAAGCTCTTTTTTTCCACAATCAAGGTGTTCTCCTTCACTATACATTTGTGCCTACATGGTTGCTGTGTGGTTACCGGTGTTGTGTCAACTGGTCCTGTCTGAAATCTCCTTATGCCCAACCTCTGGGGTAGGCCTGCTCCATGCCTTGCACTTTCATTCAGGTTTTCATAACACTCTGTTGGTCTATTTTCCTTGGTTTCAAAAGTGCCCATGCTTTTTAAAGCCTCTGCATATGACACCTTATTCACAACCTTGTACCTCTGTACTTCTTTAGCTTGTTTCTGGACCACACATCCACCTCACCTCCACAATTGCAGCATTTTAACTTGGCATCCTTATTACACTTGCCATATTCATGTTCTCCTCCACATTTCGAACATCTTTGTCTCCATTTACATTGTTGTACTGTATGTCCCATTCTCTGGCGCTTAAAGCACCTTAACGGTTGGGGAATGTACTTCCTAACTTTGTAATTTATCCATCCTATTTGGACTTCACAAGGCAAAGATTTTTCAAAAACAAGCAGTACAGATAGGATGTCTGATTTTATCTCACTCTTCACATCCTCCACGGACATTTCCAGAGGAACATTTGAAATCACTCCTTTTAGCTTTGCTGCCATTCCTGGTACATGTGCTTTAATCTTTTCACCACCAAGGTTACTCATTTTCAAAATCATTTCCTGCTGCTTCTTATTTACTGCTGATATTAGAATTCTTCTGTTACTCAATAGTTTAGCATATTTAATTTTCCCCATATCTTTCTCAATTGCTTTGGTCACCTGAACTGGATGAAAGTGACCTTTATCATTACTAAGCATAATAATAACTTTCCACTCTTCCTGCTTGTCATCATCAGGCCTACTGCTCCCACTAGATTTAGGTTTGATCTTTTTGTTAACTTGTCTTGGAGTACTCTCTCTTCCACTACTCGCT